TGACGGTAACCCTGTTGTACCCACGAACGCCTCCTCCGTCGTCGTCTATTCAGGTGATGGTCGTTCTTGGATTTGTTGTTTTTTTTGTGTGTGTTTTATTTGATTTATTTGTTTGTTTTGTGAAGTTGATGGTTTGTTTCTGCCTTTTTGGGGGGAGATTGTGGTTTGTTTGTATGCTTGTCCAGTGTCAGGAAAGGAGTAACGGGCAATTCATGTTTGATTTTGTACTATTCCGGTTAAATCTCTAATTGAGGAAAAATGATGAAGGCAGAATATTTCTATTAAAACAGTAAAACATGCAGGAAACTATTAAGATTACAAATTCTGTGTAAACTTTAAGTGTCAGATGATTAAGATTTAAGAGAGACTTGGCGAATCGGAGTTTTCCAAAGTCCATGGTGAATTGCTAGCTTTTTTTCCCGAGATTAAACGCACCATAGTTTTGTTTTTCCTCTCTCCTAAGATGGATTTTATTTCGCGACATCCTCATGAAGCAGATACTTTTAATTCATTTTTGTTACAGTATAAAAAGACAAAACTAAAGAAAACCGTATAACGTCTCATTCCTTGCTCTTCAACAGGCGAGAGATGGGACGTGATCGTCAAAACCGAAAACACCAAATTCGGAACTTTCTGGATCAGTTTCATGGGCGGCGTAGACTGCGCCCCGACCTCCGCCCACCAGTTTGCGCTGTTCGAGTACGAGCAGGTTGGCCAGTTCTACAAAAGCCCGGCCTATGCGAAACAGCAGGTCGGACAGCAAGAGATTCCAGACAGTGTTTTGCTGCGTCACATGCCCCCCAAGCCCATGTACACAGAGGCTCCCCCAGCCGGCGTTGTAAGTCTTGGCTGCTTGTTGCGTATTCGTGGTCCTGAAACGCGTGTCTTTTCATTTTAGGAAACTGGAATTTATTTCCTCTTTATTTCTGAGTGTCTTTCGTATTGTCCGCTTAAAGAACTGAGTTTGATTCGTTCTTTACCCGACTGTCTCTCCTATTATCCGCTTTGAAAGTACCTGGAATTCATGAGTTCTTTACCGGACTGCTTCATCATTAGGACAAAAAAAAAGAAAACAAAATGAAGGTAAAAATATAAATCTTGACATCTTGATATTATTCAACTCGAGAACTAGATTTCATTTCTTCTCTTCTGAACTATTTACGATTAGGACCAAAGAAAAGAAAAAAATCTGCCGAACTTCTTGACAGCATTAAACTCAAGACCATTCTTCATTCTTTCCAGCAAGTGAACAGTATAAACAGCGCTTGTTACGACGACCTGATCTGCGTGGCTGGCCTGAGGTCACCTGAGCCAATGCCTGAAGCGCTGCGGACGCCACGAGCCAACTACACGTTCTATTTGGCTTTTGAAATGAGACAAATCCACAATGCTCATTTCTACTCGCGTGCCTTCTACAATTTCGAATCAGGTGAATATGTAAAAACGTCTTTATTAATTTCTCCCTGCTAGAAAAAAAAGTAGATGAGATATTAAGAGCATTATTTTCTGAGAATTAATTAAGCGGGTGAAATAAAAGAATTAAGTTTAGCACTAATACTATTGTGACTATCTCTTGGCACATATCACGCATGGTATAAATAGAAAAAAATAATTAAAGAACACCTTAACAGACTCTTCTTTCGATATATAAAACCATAACACATATTGCTTTTGGTATATAAAGCTACATTGAAGAAGACCATAACACACTCTCCTTTGAAAGAAAACTACAACACACACAGCTTTCGATATATAACTCCTTGAAAAACACCTCAGCACAGCCATTCCTTCACCCACAGCGGACGAAGACCAGCAGATCCCGACGCCCCAAGTGAACAACCTCTCCTTCGTCGGACCGTCCACGCCCCTTCTGCTGAGTGGTGGCAGGTACGACACGCGGGTCTGCTCGATCGAAAACCCGATTCCAGGACGAAGCTGCCACGACGACTACTGCGAGTGTCTTCACATGTATCACGTCCCCCTCGGAGCCACAGTCGAGCTGGTGTTCATCGACGAAGGTAAAGGATGTGTTCAAGTGTCTTCGTTATGTCCCAGCCGGAGGAGATATTGTTTGTCTTTGTGTGCTTTGGTTGCATTGGGTCTTTGGGTCTTGTATTTTTGAAATACGTGGTTTAAGAGGTTGAAAAGGATAATATTTATGGTTTAATGGAGATGGACACAAGACAAAAGCAGTGTAACGTGTGTACGCATTGTTCCCCCTTTTCATTGCGATTGTGTCTCATTTCCTTTTTTTATTGTTTACACCTCAAATTCCTTCCTCTTTATTCCACATTTCGAATACTATTTTTGTGAATCCATACATGTAGCTACCCGGTAATGCCACCGTTAAAATAACACGTCTCTTTCCAGGTCAACACGGTGATGAGAACCACCCCATCCACTTGCACGGACACCACTTCTGGGTGGTTGGTATGGACCGTCCCAATGACGTGGTTGGGGCAGCCATTACAAGAGACGAGGTAAGGTCTCAAGAGTGCAATGCATCTGTAGTATTTATATTTCACTTTGTTGTTTTTCTCCCCGCCATAGTGACTTTGTTCTTACGCCAGAAAATGTTGAATAATATAGATTATTTTAGAATTTGAGAAGATATCTGGATTATCTTATTAAATAAAGTGCCTTGTGTAAAAATAGAAAGAAAAACAAAAACGCGTCATTTCCACAGGTGATCGAGTTGGATAGGACTGGACAGCTGCTGAGAAACTTCTACCACCCAGTGCGAAAAGACACAGTTACTATACCAGATGGAGGCTACACTGTTGTCAGATTTATTGCCGATAATCCAGGTGAGTCGCTTATGGAAACACTGAATTATATAAGCAGATTTGTGTACCTCCATCTCCTCCCTCTCACTGTCTGTCTCTTTATATCTTTCTGTCTGTCTTTTTTATCTACATAACTATGTCTGTCTATTTACACATATAACGATGTCTGTCTGTATGTCTGTCTATCTGTCTCTCTCTCTCTCTCTCTAAAATGTAAACTAGCTTTATCTAAATCATGAACTGATTTTAGATAAATTTCGGAAACTACTTTTTCTTGTGTTCACTGTGGAGACCAAAGGATTTTGTGCAGGAAAGTTCTCAGATTTCCCCAGTGACCATGCTGGTTTTAATTTTGTTTCCCAGTTATTGGAATACAGTATTTTAGCTTTCAGGATAGTCACAACCGATATAAACAGATCGTAACGAACAAGAAACTCATCTCAGCTTAAGAAATTTATGCCAAGATGTGGTAATAATACTCGTTTTACTGAATACTTCTTTTTTTATTAAATATCATCAAATCTTTGGATAACCTGGTGCAGTTCTAGTCCCGAGCATCAGATTGCACCTGTCAGATGCATTGATGACAATTTAAGAAGGAAAGTGTGGATAATATACTGACTGTAGATTTTGTGTTTAAGGAACATTGGCGTTTCTGCTTATAAACTAAACGATTTTTTTTATCCTGTGGAAACAAAAAAATATAATGTTCCCATCATTATACACTCAAAAGAATTTGTTATATTGCATTTCATATTTGCCTTAGGAAATGTTTTATCCAAAACTTAGAAAACCCTATCATGGCAAAAAAAAAAAAAAAAAAATATGCCGTGAAAGAATAAGAATATCACAACACAGTACTCCCGATACTATTACTACAGCAGAAAAAAATATTACTTACCTCGTAACACAACATACAGGAGGACATACTTATAATATCCAACAGTCGTCCCTCACAACAAAGCAGTTTCCAGTGCCTCTACAGCCTTTGAAAGCCTCATGGAGTTACCTTACATAGGCAGCGACCTCAAGTAACATTAGTCTCGTGGTTGAGGTTAGATCGGCGAAAGCATCCGAAGGCACGTTGGCTTGTGGTCACAGATTCGTTAATTACTGGCTGTAAATTGAGTATGGATAGTAACGATTAGATGCGAAATACGTTTTTTTTTTGTCTATATTTCTACGATGCTGTATTTCTATGTGTTTTGATTTGGCGTTTGTGACTAAGGGCTGTTAGATACTTCGCCGAGAGCGTTGATATTTTACATGATTGTAAAGAATCATGAAAGGCGTTGATTAGCAACAAGCAAGCAAAAACTACGTAACCTCTTGTCCAGAATATTTTCTGATTGTGTTCCCTCTGGTGTAAGGCTTGTAAAAATCACCTAACTCTTTATCTTGGGAGGGTTTGAATATCTTCTGATATTGATTACCAGTTCTATCTTGCTGTGTCATTATACCTTTGTTATTCTGCATACTGCGAATGCTTGTTTTATGAATCAAGGCAAATATACCATTGTTTGTAGGTATATATACATAAAGTAAACCAATGTACTCATCTAATTCACTTTAACGAACGTATATATACATAAAGTAAACCAATATACTAATCTAATTCACTTTAACAAACATCTCACAAAGCATAACAATACCTAACCTTTCTTCCCAACTCTACAGGTTACTGGTTGATGCACTGTCACCTCATTTTCCACTCTGCGGCCGGAATGGAAGTGGTTTTCAAGGTCGGCGAAGTGAAGGACGTCCCTCCGCCTCCAGCTGGCTTCCCCTCCTGCGGAAATTTCAAATCCTTTGACCTCTGAATATTCGACTGATGAACTTTCCTCTGTTCCTCAACACACCAAAACCCAACTCCTGCGGGCTCCTTTGACCTCTGAATGTTCGACTGATGAACTTCCCTCTGTTCCTCAACACGCCAAAAGCCACTCCTGCGGGCATTTGATCTCTTGAGCTGATCCTCGGGTGGATAGACAGTTTTTTTTAACATTCCAATGTATTGGTACTGGACCTTTGATCGCCTCTGGAGGGTGGTTTGTGATAATTCCAAGATATTTCGAGACTCTTTTTTTTCTTTATGGCATTACTTGAAGACAAATAGTTTATTTAGTGTATGATTCGTTTGTCGATGTTTTTTTTTAATCGATTGTGTCTGTATATAGTACTGATGATTCTGTTAAATATAAAATATTGTCAGTATTCGGAGTGTTTTTTATGGACTTTGAATAAGCATATATGCAAGATACAAGTGTGAAATTATTGTACAGTATCTTTTTTGAAGACTAGCCTAAAAGATCTCTCTTATTACAAGAAATGCTTGTGAAACAGAAACAAAATCATGTGCATAAGACAGTGACTATTACAGTGAAACTCTAAAGTGCTAAAATAACTACAGATAAAGAAACAATCTGATCTACAAAACATAATTCCTGCCAAAAATATAAAAAACGAAAATACGGTTACATACTCTCTAGTAATTAAGAATTGGCACAGTGAACAAACGTTTCTAAGTAATAACCGATAGAAAGGCTTAAGAGACACGGAGTCTGTAACAGTTACGTGTTGATATTAGTCAGAATTTTTACGTGTGTGTGTATATCTCGCATAATATTATGACATTTAGGTGCTAAAACCGACTGTTTAAAAGGTGCTCTCTGTAGATGCAATCTCCCGAGAAAACAGTGGTATGTGGGAGCCTTTTTATAATGTTTACTAAGAGTGATTGATAATGATTTTTTTGTGTTTTAATAAAAAGGAAAAAAAAATCAACCATATCTGATTTTACTTTAGATAAATGTTTGTACCCTTTGTAACAGTAACCTCGGTTTATTAGGGAAATGATAGCAGCTGTAGAAATAACCAAAGGAATATTGGATATTTAGGTCTTATTAGTACTTTGTAAACTACACTCATTTCTTAGTTAGCAAAATTTAAGGGGAACAAAGACAACGCCACATTATGAGCTTATAGCATGCATGGAATAATCAACAGACATGGGAATTGAATCTGATTCATTGAGTATTGTAGTTTGATCTAACTTCTATAATCCATATATCTTTTGCTTTTAGTGCTATATACTATTTCCATAGTTTACATTTCTTTTAAAAAACACTCTGGGGTAGTTTTATTAGGTTGCCATATACTTAATATTGGGAAACTGCCGTCTAGCTTATTTACATGAATATGGTATTCTGTTCCCGTTATGATTATTCCTAGCAATATTTGTTTACAGTTGGTGACTTCATAAACATTGGGAAGAAAAACATTAGATATTTACAGCAGGATAAATTCTACGATAGTTATATTTCATTACTGAAAAAACTGAAATAGAAACTACTTTTTGCCTACTTTACTTGTGCCTTCTTTCTTTTTTATAATACAGAATTTCATTTTATAATAAATAAAATTAACTCATTTAGGATAAGATAGATATGCAAAGCTAATCCTCGCCCGGCCTGTGATGACTAATGCCTTTTCGAGCAACGTGTGTCAAGCTAGTGCTGACTCGGCTGAGACTAGTCCTTACCCACTGAGGTGCCCATCCACAGCAATAACCTTCAGAGGATAGTTGAATCTTTTAACACTTGGACTTTATGCGACCGGCCTACCCCACGATTGTCAGACCGGTATTTTGCCATTTAATTATCCCAGAGACTCACCAGACGCTTTCCTACTTGCTACAATAATAATCTGACTGAGGATATCCCTGTCGTAGTATCGAATCATGAGGAATTCCAGTCCTTATATGAAAACTTTATCCTTATCCTGAGGTTGTCTCTATGTAACATCTTGGCTTAATCGAAATAGTATCCGTACGATGATTTAAAACACACTTTATTGGTATGTTAGTAACTGTAATAACATAATGTTTTGATGGAACACGTGTTGATACAAGAAATACTCAAATAATACTGTAAGTTTTAGAAATATAAACCGTGTTAGCGGATATGAATAGTTACAAGCGACTTCGTAGTACTTCGGTGTCCAATTTCCTTCCTGAAATTGGACACACTATAGTCTTCCTCTTGGTCATTTTCTCCTCAGGCAGAAGTTATAGAAGGCACTTGCATTTGGAGCTTCCAGTGCTCTTTGTTTTTTTTCTCTTGCCTCGGTATGTGTATAGTTTAGTGTGTATTTGATATACACTTTACGGAATATCTCAAGAATATACTTTAACACGTTTCTGTAATTGTGAATGTTGCATACAGTTCATAGAGAACACACATACACATTTGTTTACTAAGGCTATAAGTTTGTTATCTTAGCCTTATTGTGTGTTGATATAAATTCCTTTGAACCAATTGAGTGTTAGGAAAGTGTACGTGAATGATATACTTTAATGAGTCTAAAATACGACAGCGTACATTTTTTCATGAGTTTAGTTCAATGAGTCTATATGTATTAGGACGTATTTTAGTAGAGTGCAGTAACGCATTTTAACAGGTTTCATTGCTCCCAGACAAGAGCTCGTACCCACTTAGAAAACCAGACTAACACCCGTATTTAGTGACCTTCTTAGAAAACTATCCAAGTATGATATTAAGACTACAATAATGATATGTAAGCTATATATATAAATTATACTAGTACCATAAGAATAGATATTATTGATCTGTTCAAGGGTGAGTCGGTGGAATGTAATCACATTTTATGAGCATACATACTTAGATATGTACTTACATATTATATACATACATAGATACATACGTATATACGTAAACTGAAGTATTTGGAGGATGAAGAGGCCAAGATACTATTGCTTATTGCACTAGTATCTTTACTATAGCCTTAACATTTACCTCAGTCGTAAATCATTGTAAGCATAATTCACAGAATACTTTCAATTAACATTTTGTTTTCAATTCTATTGAGCGACTAACAATCAAACGAACAAACAAACAAACAAATTGTAACTTACACATATATTGTTTAACGTTTCTTTCCTCGTTACAGCATTTTTATTTACCATTTTCCTTCAGTAAACCTAAATCCTCATATTTTCCTTTACAAGTTCAGCGTCCGTCATATTTTTTTTCTATTTTTCTATTTTTCCTTGACTGCAGATTATTGCTACGTGCTTTTGTCTTCACCGGCTGTCTTAGTATTGGCCAATTTCTTTTGTGTGGATTTTACAATGATCTTGTCCATTCTACATAAATAACTGTTCTTTTCTGTCTATGATTTCGTGACAACTAGGATCTTTCTTGCATTGCGCGGTATGTTTAAAAGCGCCAATACAGTATATATATTTTTTTCCCATTATTATTGAACAAAACAACTACTTAGAGGAAATAAAAAGACAAAATGAATGCACGTTGCCACATACTTTTATGTATTCTAGGTTAAGCCAAGAATAATTGTATTGTCATCGGCAACACGTCAACACGTATAAAAATACTATACATTTTGAAAGAGTAGTTTATGATGATACATCAACTTATTTATTTATTTATTTATTATTATTATTATTATTATTATTATTATTATTATTATTATTATTATTATTATTATTATTATTATTATTATTATTATTATTATTGTTGTTGTTGTTGTTGTTGTTTATTTACAGCCATTCTTGCATCCACAGCGGACAGTGATGGCAAATATAGGAATATTGATAAGTAAATAAGTAAGTAGTAAAAATCGGTTAGAGAGAGAGAGAGAGAGAGAGAGAGAGAGAGAGAGAGAGAGAGAGAGAGAGAGAGAGAGAGAGAGAGAGAGAGAGAGAGAGAGAGAGAGAGAGAGAGAGAGAAAATACACTGTAGATAATTCATCATCACTAAAAATACTTAAATAAAGTGAAACATGATTCATACTGATGTACAAAAGGGTCTATTTTAGTTTATGGTAGAAAACGGGAAATTAGAGCAGAGTTCAGATTTCAGGGGAGACTCAATTTCTCTAATATACAACGCTACAAAGACCTCATCAAAGAATATATATATATATATAGCAATAGAGAGATAACTATGAAGACCAGCGGCGTAGTTGGTCATACTTTGTTAGTATGAAAATAGTAACATAAGGTGTTCCTCTCTGTATGAGTATGCATAAAACTTTCAGTACAAATATTGAATAGTTCTTTGAAAACGTTTTAGATTATTAAATAGTATATCCCCTTGATCCTTTTCTTCGTGGTAACTATTTTTCGTTGTGCTATTTATGTTATTCTTATACTTATTATTGTCATTACTATTAATGTTATTATTATTATCATTATTATTATTTTTGTTATTATCATTATCATTATCATTATTATTATTATTATTATTATTATTATTATTATTATTATTATTATTATTATTATTATTATTATTATTATTATTATTATTATTATTATTATCATTATTATTATTATTTTAATTTATAGTATGATGTATATTTCCTTCTATGCACTATTTTTGTTATATGTATATCTGTTAAAGTCTTTTTTTCTCAATCTTTTCCATGGTTTTAGTTTTGTATATTTCAAGAACTAATTTTCCTGTTTAAAAATCTTGTTTCGATCTTAACTTTTTTTTCCTTTATCATTTTTGCCTTTTATCATGGCTATAGATTTTTTTTTTTTGCATTCTTTTTACTCTTTCGTTCCATCTATTGTTTTTTTTTCTGCGATGGTAGTATGTTTATTCGCTTTCAGGCCTATTGATTTATTTCATATTTTAAAAAATCTTTATTATATTTTTCATTTATATATTTACTTTATTTATTTATTTTTTATTGGTGGACGTCTGAGAAATTCACTGAGTCTGTTGTTATATATACTTTGTGTCTTTTACGAATTTCCTTGTAACACGTGTTGTTGTTGTTGCTGTTGTTTTTGTTTTTTTCATTACAGGTTAGATACAGACGTTCTTTTTTGCCATTTTCTTTATTATCCACTCTTATTATTATCATTTTCGTTATTACTATCATTATTATCATTATTATTATTATTATTATTATTATTATTATTATTATTATTGTCATTAATAATAATAATGATAATAATAATAATAATAATAATAATAATATTGTTGCTGTTGTTGTTATTATTATTATTATCATTATTATTATTATTATGATTATAATAATGATTATTATTATTATTATTATTATTATTATTATGATTATGATAATGATTATTATTATCATCATCATCATCATCATCATTATTATTATTATTATTATTATTATTATTGTTATTATTATTATTATTA